TTAAAGTTAAGTTAAATTACAGAAATTTTTATCAAATCAATTGAAAGTGTGCTTATTGGCAACGGAGATAGAACAACATTTCCACAATGCCAACCAATTCTGCGTTTTTTCACTTATTCACCTTGCAATTATTGCCTGACCTGAATCTAAATAGACTGTGTGCTCAAGTCGCGGTGATAAATGATTTGCAACCTATTACTCGCTCTCTATGTTTGAGTACTGCGGTGCTGGTTATTATGTGGCTTTTTATGGGAGCTGGCATCCTGACCTAATACTGCAGTGACCACGTTTACTAAATCATCATTTAATTAAATTTCTATTGATTTTCGTGAAAGGTTTTAACATGAACAGAGTCTTGTCACATATTTCTAAATTTTCATACGGAGTAGGGTTGACCTTTCTATTTAGTTAGACATCGAAGCTTCCCTCAAATAAACTGTAGGACCAAGTAACCTGAGATGCACAAAATGCAGAATACTCAACATCATAACTCACCTGACTGGTCATCTTACTGGTCATTCGTCTTCATTTGAGTGGTTCAACTGGGTTACCTGCAGATTCACACATCTTCTTTCCCTCTTCTTCAATCTCCTCATTACGCAGGGAAGCTCTGCTCACCACTAACTTATCTCCCAATTTGAGGTGCATTGAAGAATGAAGAAAAATGGAGGATGGAAAAGAATTCTTCAAGAATCACCAAGTGATCAGTTAACAGTTCGAAAAACAAACCATTTAATAATTAGAAGCGCTAGTCTTAAGCCGCATCATACAACCAACAATAAAGTTTAAAAAGTTGTATTTACAATAATTGAATGCAAATATGAGAAAGTGGATAATATATCAATATAGTAAAACAAACAATTTTGCATTCAGTTTACTGTAATCCCCATTCCCATCGAATTCAGTTGCCTTCTCGTTGAATAAAGAACCTACTCATTTGCCACATTACTGGTAACAACTACAAGCAACTTCCATAATGCTTTGTGCTCACAGTAAAAAGAACTTCAAAATGTAAGCATGATGAACTAGGGACACATATTCTCCAATTGCCTCCACCAAGATTTTATCTACTGATAGTGCGTGCTATTTTTTTCCCCAACTATATCGAAATGTGGGGTGTGCGATAGACTTACCTCCACGTGGTGCATCCTGACAAGGGGTGTGCGATAGACTTACCTCCACGTGGTGCACCCTGGTGGGTGTGCGATAGACTTACCTCCACGTGGTGCACCCTGGGAAACGTATACTCATACGGTAAAAAGTCTATTAACCGGAAGTTTGTGTGCGATAGACTTACCTCCACGTGGTGCACCCTGGGCAGCGTATTTTCTTACGGCAAAAAAGTCTATCACTCGGCTTTCGTTATATTCATACGGCAAAAAGTCTATTAACTGGCAGTTAACTACGATAGACTTACCTCCACGTGGTGCACCCTGGGCAACGTACTTTCTTACGGCAAAAATTCTATCACTCGGCATTCGTTTTTTCTCATACGGCAAAAAAGTCAATTAACTGGCAGTTGGCTTCTGACTTCAAACTATCACGACCCCATTGTATGTCTTATTCGATCACTTCCACCATACTTATCCTACTTTTTCTCTGCCTTTGTGTCTGTCTGTCTGTTTTACATCTTTGAATTACTCTACTGTCCCCCCTCTCCACTTTTTCTCACTTTGATGTTCCTCCTTCCCTCTGTGAAGCCCGAAGTCAGCTAAAGGGCAAATGATAAGTGTCGTAAAGCCCGCCATTTGAAATAAATATCGAAATGTACTTAACATTCAGACGCAAAAATTTCAGGTCGGTTAAACATTACAATTGTGGGTGCACAAAAGGAAGGTTGGCGATCGATAATCAAAGCCCCTTATGTGGCTGACGGAGTTATATTACCTGGCGAATCAGAAACAAATTAGGTTGATCGGTTTCAAATAATAAATATTTCTCAAACTTCGCATAAAAGTAATCGGTTGTCAAATCCATTCTGTTATTTCTATAATATCAAGGCTTCCGGATTAGTCATAACAAAGCTAAAAGGACATCCTACCTGTAATAGTACAGTAAAGTGAAAAACGCACTTTAAAATACACGCGCTAATAAGTATCGGTATGGTTGGGACATCATTAATCAGCCAGTAAGGAAGATCACGAGTCCTAGGCATGTTTCGGCATGACTGGATGAACAGTGATGCTGGTGTGTTTGAAGTAAATGGTGAAGAAAAATCACAAGGATCGTTTGTATCAGATAATCGCATTACTTTCTCACCATTTCTCCTTTCACAAGGGATAAGACTACAATTAGCTACCAGAGAAAATAGTGGATGACATCTATGTCAAACAAAATCTCAGTGTCTGGCCACACGAGATGTTTGGGGAGACACACGCGACTTGTACATGATTAACTTTAATTGAGCGTTGAACATTAATCTACCAAGGTGTTACATTCGTAGTTTTCAATATTTTGCATTACCATACACTTCTAATAGAAGAACTCTTATGCTTTCTGCAGTTTAAAATGTCTGTTTCGCTTAGACGTGAAAGAAACCAAAGCAAGCAACACGAAAAACTGATTCACTTACTCTAAAAAACAACCGAAAATTTTCCGACTTGCACTTGGCATGGTCGTTGCAAATATCGAATGTTCATCTAACAGGGATGTGCGATAGACTTACCTCTACGTGGTGCACTCTGGGCAACATATAATCATGCGGCAAAAAAGCCTTTTAATCGGCCGTTGACTTCTGACGTCAGAATACTATGATCCGACTGTATACCATATTCCACCACTTTCACAGCACTCATCTTACCTTTTCTCTGCCGTTGTGTCTCTCTGTCTAGTTTACATCTGCGAATCATTATTCTGTCCCCCTCTCGAGTTTTTGCCACTTTGATGTCCCTCCTCCTCTGTTTTACCTAATCCCCCATCCCGATCATGAGTAGCTCCATGCGTGTACACTTTATCCGCAATATACTCACTGAATAAACGTGTTTCGTACTACACGTCTGTTTCCTTTATAGCTGGGCTATAGCTGCAACACGTCTGTTTCCTTTATAGCTGGGCTATAGCTTAGCTGAATTATACGTCTGTTTTCTTTATAGCTGGGCTATAGCTTAGCTAGTTCGGGAGTCTAGCTAGATGTAGGAGAATCTGCCAGAGATTTCTCGGGAGTCTAGCTAGATGTTGGAGAATCTGCCATAGAGACTTAGTCTAGCTAGATGAGTTTCCCTTATAGCTAGGCTATAGCTTAGCTTGTTCTGGGAGTCTAGCTAGATGTTTGAGAATCTGCCATAGAGATTTCTTTCGGTCAGGCTTTACTAGCGTAGCAATCCGCTACAATGCAATCCGGTCAGGCTTTACTAAGGTAGCAATCCGTTACAATTCTCAACCGGTCTGGCTTTACTAAGGTAGCAATCCGCTACAAGTCTTTAACCAAGGCTTTACGAAGGTAGCAATCCGCTACATGTTCGAGACTTAGGGAGCAATCCGCTACAAGTCTACAAAACAATATACATAACTTACTAGCAATCCGCTACACCCCTCAAGCTTATTTGGAATGGAAAAATAGTAAAATTTTATTCTCAAAATAGAAATCACCACAAAGGATTCGTTATTAAAAAGACTGACCAGACACACTCCTTTGAGGTGAGTGTAAAAGTTAAACTTCCTTACCCCAAGAACTGAATCTCTTCTTAAGGTAGAAATTGAACTTCATCTGTATAAATAAATGGCCATTGGACTTTTGTCCGATTAAATATAAGAATTTCCCATAGGCTAGTTGTGTGTCATTTGAAAACTCTCAGCCCTTCTAATACTATTAATAATTCGTAAAAGGGATACATATTTCAAAATTCTAGCTCCATTTATAGATTTGATGAGGTCTGAAGTACACAAATAAGACCGGCAAATTAAAGCGTACACAATATCAATTGATTGCAGGCTTACTGTAAATCGTCTTATTTTAAAATCGGGATTGAAACAACTTATTTCTCTAGTAAATAAGATATTCATCTGAAATTGTGTTTTACTAAGGCTTTCCAGAGTCAAGTTGCAAATTTCTCCGTCCATTCCTTGGCAGTTTTATCAAATTGTTCTCGATCACTGTTAAATACCTCGGCTATTTCATGAACCAAAGGGTCATCCGGATTTGGGTCAGACATAAGTGATATTATAGAAACCAAGACTGTAAAAAAAATGAGGAATTAAACGATTGTGCAAATACCTTTCGATAACGTAAGGGCAGGGGACCATTGATTTTTTAGTAGATCTAAACAAATGGATCCGTCTGAGTTTATATTGGGATGGTAGATTTTGGTTATGAAATTTACCTAGACGGCAATTAGAAAATCGAGGATAATTTACTTTAGGTGGTCTGAATGGATAGTCGAGGGGGAATTGAATATGCAATTGAAAAATGCCACCCTCATAAGGACTGCCACTCTACAAATATAAGTTTTTTTGGAGGGACAAAGGCTATCATTACCGGTCCAACTATTGTTCCTTCCCACTGATATACTAACAATACGTTATGCATATTAAAATAAGTGTAACTTACGATCATCATTAATGGGGGCAGCAAAATAGCCTATTGGAGGATTCATGTTTAAGTCGCTTAATTCCTGTATTTATGAAACTTGTAAATAGACGTTGAATTACCTTGTTAATTCTCTTCAAAGACATAGTAAAGCCTTTACTTTGTGTCAAATTAACCTTGAAAGCCCTTCTAATATACTCGTTTTCAGTAATAATGATAAGCTGTTAATGTTCACGTGAACTGTTATTATGAACCTTATGAAAGAAGTGTGATATTACAATGTTCTATCAATTATTATGATGGAACTAATGACGATGAGATTGGCCTTCCATCGTGCAATATGCCTTCAATTTTTCACTTCTTGAATTTCAATCTATCGGTTCGAAGGCGGATCCATTTAATATAATTATACAATAGACTCTTAACCGTACAATCTTAAAAACCAGGTTGACCCTGTGGGACACGTTATCGCTCTGTGCGTCATCGTATGCCTGCATGTCTGCTCGCCAGGATTGGGAGGTGAGGCCGTACAACTCTTTGTGCTCCGACCGTACAAACAGTGACCAATCATCAACCTCTGTTTAGCCTAATCAGCCATCCTGATCATGATTAGGCCCCCTACGTGCACACTTTATCCGTAATGTACTCACTGAATAAACGTGTTCCGTACTACACGTCTGTTTACTTGATAGCTGGGCTATAGCTTAGCTGGTTCTGGTAGTCTAGCTAGATGAGTTTCCCTTATAGCTAGGCTATAGCTTAGCTTGTTCTGGGAGTCTAGCTAGATGTAGGAGAATCTGCCATAGAGATTTCTTTCGGTCAGGCTTTACTAGCGTAGCAATCCGCTACAATGCAATCCGGTCAGGCTTTACTAAGGTAGCAATCCGTTACAATTCTCAACCGGTCTGGCTTTACTAAGGTAGCAATCCGCTACAAGTCTTTAACCAAGGCTTTACGAAGGTAGCAATCCGCTACATGTTCGAGAGTTCTTAGGGAGCAATCCGCTACAAGTCTACAAAACAATATACATAACTTACCTTTTAGCAAATTTCATATTATAGATGATAATTCTTCTGGTTTAGTTAGTATCCGAGCTACTGTATTTCAGCTAGAGGTGATAAGGTCATAATACAGAAGTTCATCCCATGAATGTGAAAGAGTACTCCGTTAACGCCTCCAGAAGTTAATTTCAAATCGTATGCGCACCAGCAGTAATCTGTAATACCATAACGGTAGGATTATGTTGACGTCTTTACTTCTCCATTACCTGTTTATCACAACTTGATTAATTTATCTATATCTTGGACAGTTTCTTTTTACTTAAACTCGCATGCAGGCTGCACCTCTCTCTCCCTCTCTATCCAACCTTTGCTCTTCCGAAATCCAACTTGGTTCTTAAACACACATTGTTCATTCCAACGTCAGCATTTTTGCAAAAAGGATTCTTTTTAGCTTTTCCAAGAGATCGCGTTTTCAGTTAACACATTCCTTTCCCCTTCTCAAATTTCATCGACCATCGAGCCATTAGAAAATCTATTTATGGTAAATTAAACGCCTTGATTAAGTGTTATATTTAAAGCATATAGTCTTACTTTTATACTATTTATTTATTAAATAAAACTTGCCTCAGATTTTATTACATATATATATATATATATATAAATACATCGTTGTCAAAAAATATCCAATGCATATTTTAGCTACCATTCCTGTGCAACTGCAATAGATTTTCGTTAATCTATTCAAAAATGTTGAGAAGCATTAGGATTGGGTTCGCTCATAATTTATATAATGCAAGGGAAATTTTAAATGAGAAATTATACGATTTCGACTCTTCGATTTTGTATGGGCAGGAGACCATTGATCCTTATGCCTATCTAATCACAGCGATTCTTTTGAATCTATATATGAAAGGCAAATTTCTCTTCTAAAATTGACCTAGACGATGGTTAAGTAAACTACCCAAGGGTTTGAGGAAGTGAATAAACTGGGAGACGGCTTCAACACCACCAAAAATGACTTAATCACTCAAATGCTCCCATATAGGACCCTGTCTACTTCCTTGCCAAGGAAAATCTGAAATAGAAATAACTAGTTGCAAAAAACTAATTTGATTATCGACAGCTGGATTAGTAGAACGATATGCAGTTGGTCCTTAGTCAAAATCAAAGATTTCTAGCATTTTTAAAGAGTCAATGTGTATTCAATTACCTCTTCAATTATCTTCAGGACCACAGTGAGATAAAAACACAGCAGAAACTTACTAATGCGCTAATTTCGGTTATGGCCTTTTAATGCGTATGAAAATACTTGTACAGGCGTTTCATATCAAACTAATAAAGAGTGATTTGATGATATTCTTGTCATATTATAGCATTGTCACAACTTCCCGCAAATTTCAGGGTCATCCGATTGTTGCTATTATTTTACTGATTGCAATGAAGAGAAATTCAAAATAGTCTGTTTTATGAAATATATCATATATATCGCTGTGTTATTATTCTAATGCTAATGTTAACTTACCATTTTTATTGATTAAAACGTCTTAA